CTTTTCTTCTTCACTCTGATTTCAATCATTTTTCGTTTTAACGTGGAAGAGAAATCTGCTATCATATTGATATCCCATTTTCCTTGCTACTTGGTACGATAATCGGTACTTGTTTGCTTTTCCAAAATATTCTGAAAGACACTTTTGAAACTTAGCCATGCTACTTACTCTTTGTTATTCATTTGCTTAATAAAGTTTTTATCTTTAACAAGTGTATGAATTTAGGGACCATCGAAAATACCTTCTTTCAATTTTTCATCACTTATAACGAGAAACTTTAGTTTTAAATACCCAAAACACTTATCACTTTTATCTAGAGCTTTGAAATATTGTTTGATCAGTCCGAGTTTAATTGAAAGAGGCGATAGCAAATTTTTTGAGTTTTGTTGAATATCTTATTAGAGTAGGCGTATATGCATTTCCATTATGGAGCCAAACAGCTTTGAAACTTCGTTTTAATGAATCTATGAAAAGCCATCACTCTTCATCCTTATAAATATTAAGTTTTAATTCATTGAACTACGTAAGACATATACTTGTTGAAAGTCAAAAAATATGTTCCTAATTTTGTCGCGCTTACAAATGTAATTTTTCGCTATTTTTCACGATTTTGAGCTAATTTTTGTGATTTACTAAAAACCAAGGGGTAGACGGGCTAAATGATCTCTAAATTTGGTTTCAGCGAGCTAAAATACATATAGATAGGTGGGTTTGGTCAAAAATTCAGTCCAGTTTTTTTGGTGTACCGGCGTAATCAACGAAGTTGCCGAGGTTGGAAGAGCACGTATGCGACGAGTACGCCTCGCGTGTGTGCGTCGTGGAGATCGCGAGCGCGCGCCGCGCTGCAGCAGCACGCGACGCGACGCCGGCGGTGGCCTCTCGCCTCTATACGTCGTGAATTCGAAATAGAGCGAAGGGCTTACGGAAGCATAAAAGCCCGCGGTTTACGATCGAACGTCGCGTCGATGTGCCACCATTCGCGCGCTTCGCTGATCGTGCTTTATGCGTTTTTAAAAGTCACTTCGCGCTGAATCTATACGTCGTGTTGAGAGTACAGCGACTTGTAATCACCGAGGACAGAGCAGAAAAGATTGGCTTCCACTTGCCAAAGTTTTCTTTATCGATACGAGTATTTTTTTTTTTTTTTTCGTTAGTCATACTTCTGAAACTATCTGCGAAAGAATGTACGTTATCCAGAAAATACACGAGGAAACATCCTAATTGAATATGAAAAATTGCTGCGTTACTCAAAAATAATATTAACCAAGTTCTTCAATATACTTAGCTAAAGTGGAATCAGACTCTGATAAAATATGCACTTTCCGCGTAATTTTGCTAAAAGCAAACATATGCTTGCAAGCAGGCACTCCATAAAACTCACTCGTTCACAAGGTAGGTTCCATTTTCATATGGCATCTTTGACATCGACATCGACACCGAACTGGCGGAGCAGTGGCAGGCAAGTAGCAAGGGACCTTCGACTCCGCTAGCAATAATTGCGTTATAAAATTAAACTTCTCTCTTTTCTTTTTATCGCGCCGAGGTGGAAGTTGCGCGCTCTTCTTCCCCGAAGAAACTCGAGGCAGGCCGCTGAAATGTTATTGAAGGTGCTCTGGCAAACGAAACTTTACGTGCGCGCGAGTTACGAGCTGAAGGCGCGTATATGAGCGCTTTCGCGTGCCACTTGATAAGCTGTCTTTTTCCTTAGCACTGATCTGCGCCGTTCTCGCTCTACGGTTTCCCCGCCTTCCAGTTTTTATTATCTGCGCCTTTACTTTATGCCGGTATGCTTTTAAAAAATTTTATATTTGCTTACTTTCGCCGCGGCAGCATCGGTGGCGGCGCTAACATTAGTGTTTTAAGTAGCGACTCCCACCAGTCTCGAGGCTGCTGCATAATAAAGTTCTTGGACTTTATGGTTTCGTTTTTAATCGGCTGCATCAATATTGAAATATATATCCGCTACCAGAGTAATTTTAATTGTGGTTTGCGCGCGTCGGAACATTTTTCAATTCGAGTTGTGGTAAATATTTATCTCGTTAAGCTTGCATCGAACGCAAGAACTTGCAATTATATTCGAATATTAATTTTAATCTAAGTTCTTGGGGCTTTCGTAGAATTAGTTTTACCAAGTAATATCCGAGACTATATATCCCTCTGGATCAAACATTGGTTGATAAAACTTTCTCATAGTCAACTCACTTAAAACTTACTTTTTTTTAATTCAATGAGACTTTTCACAAAACGAATTTTTTTAGGGTGCAATCTACTTACCAAAGTATAAAGTGGATTTTAAATAATTATATATCAAAGTTTCTTCTAAGAAAAAGTAACAGGGCAATAAATAAAGTATAATGAAACTTTTAAAACGCGGAATGATAATTTTGACTACTCGTTCGCGCCGTTTGCGCTTCGAAAATTTTCTTTACTATGAGAGAGAGAGAGAGAGAGACAGAGAGAGAGAGAGAGACAGAGACAGAGAGAGAGAGAGAGAGAGAGAGAGAGAGAGAGAGAGAGAGAGAGAGAGATAGTTGTGCGGTAATAGGTTCTTAAATTACGGTGCATGCTCGGACTGTCTTTGCTACATCTGTTTGTGTTTGCGTTCAACTATCGCTGCACATTTGTGCGTCTCATGTTTGATCCCAGCCCTGAGATACCCGAAAAGTATGGGACACACGTGTCATAGATGCCATGAGATAAGGAAGACACGTGTTGGACGAGCGATTCTTCTTGTAAAGAAAAATAGGCGATGACAGTCAGTTCCTTCAGGGAAACCAGCAGTGGCACTTCTCGCTCTATCTCACATAGTCGTGAGCCGTGTGTGATACCGCGTTTAGCGATTTAGTGACATTGAATAAAAACAGCAATTGAAGTGTGTATGTTTGTGTGTGCACGAGTGCAGTGTGAGAAGTTGCGCTAGGCGTTTTCGCGATTGCCGGTGAACCGACTAAAGGGCTAACTACGTTAGCAGAGGACGTCTTCACGACTCTAGGTGCTGCCACAACTCTCCAAGCCCATCAGATCGGCATCACAGGTCATCGCAGTATTGTGTGCCCGAGACGTCGGGGCTGCGGTGCACCGAGGTGTGTGTGTGTGTGTGTGTGATGGCACTTCCTGGCTATCTGTGTGTGAGTAATAATCTGGTAAGCGAACGCCATTTAAATATACGTGCTTTGTACAGGCTCTGCGAGCCTTCAGGTAACAATGTTATGTAATTAGCGTTTAAGTTATTTGTTAAAGTTCAACTTTGTAATTAGATAGCTTTTCCCCCACTTAGGACTGGGGTTTTTTTATGCCGGATAAGTACATATGTTAGCTTTTGTTTTTTTCCTGATTAAGGTAAGATTTCACTTAATCTCTGAATCAGAATTTTTACTTATATTACGCACACACCCTTAACCCTAGTCTAACTTAAGTACAAAACATAAGCTTTCATCTCCAGGTGAGATCATTAATAAAATTTCTCCTTTTCTTACTATTACGTAGTAATTGAACACTACTTTTTAGGCAGAAAGCAATGAATATTTTATTCTAGTCATTTGCCAAAATGCATCCTTACCGGTTGCCATAATAATTCAACGAATAAAGTTGAAATCTCATTTGGAATTCTCGCTTGGCAGGGCGGACGAAAAACTCGTTGATTCTCAAGTAGTTCGGTGGTTGTTGGGACAATTACGAAAAATGTTCGCGCACGTGCCACTTCACGGCAAGAGTGCTTGAATTTTAAAAAAAGGTCAAAGCATTACGCGTTTTTGAATAAGTTTGACAACATGACTGGGTGATAAAGAAAGAATGAAAGTTGGTAAAAGTCAGTGTGAATGGATGTCTAATTTAAAGTTCCAGTGTATATGGTAGGGGGAAGCTGTGGCGACAAGTGTTGTTGTGAAAACTTAGGACAGGAAGAGATGATTTGACAAACTAGAAACAGATGAATAATGGATACTTAAGTTACTCTACATCCACTGGGAATGGACACTTATGAATTCTTCGATGCATTATACAGTAGCTTCCTCGTTCGCGCAACTGCAAATCAAAACTTTGTGTAGATTAATAAAGACTACCCGAGTCTAATAGTTTTCGAGGCTACAATATTTTAGTATTTCCATATTGGAAGCAATTACACTTGAAGTAAATTAGACAGTTCAAATTCCCTTGAGATAGTTGAATGCAAGTCAAATGTGCAGAGTAACTTCAATGAATTATTGTTACCAGAAATTTCGTTATTCATTTTAATTATGTATGTTGTAAGTCTGTTGAAAAATCAAGTGTTTTCAATTTCAAAAAGAATCTCTTTTCATACATTACTAATTGATAATCGTTCGACGGACGGACCGAAAGACTATTTCAGTATCTGCAGGTCTCCCAATACTCATAGTTCAATCAATTAAACGTAATTAGAAATCACCATACAACTTCAATTATGTACCGCCATCACTTTCAGCCGAAAAAGAATACTACCAGTACAGCACACACGCGCGCGCGCGTAAAGCGTATAACAAGGGCGAAAGCCTTCAGGCAAGATAAAGGTCCGAGGCCATAAGTAGTAACGGTCGAGCTACGGTTGAATGTCTGTAGGTGTACACGCGAGCAAACTTAAGCTCGAGGGATCTTCGGCAAACGGCTTCTTCCACGTTCATTTAGACACGATTGTATTGCTTTTGGATGGGTTATACGCTTACTTTCCAACAGTGCATTCACGTACATTAGCTCCGCTAATGAAACGGACGGTTTTCACGATCAATTAGACCTTGCGAATAGATATCGCCAGATTATGCGTCGGCGATATATTACAAAATCAATAATCATTAGAATCTTTTTTCTCTGCGGTCCCATTATCGAGAAAAGTTAATAGTATATTGGAAGGGGTTTTAATGATTGAAGAAAAAACGCGACAGCCGTTTATTAATATTAAAAGTAGACAAAGCTCGATTTCACTTTGCCATTGACGCAATACAATAGATCAATTATCATTGCTAAAAGAATGTCTCTGTTTGTTATAGCTGCCCAGGCATAAATCGTTCAGAAGTAGAAAAGCGAGTGGAAATGATGTTGGGCGAAGAGAGACAGTCGACGTGATCAGAATCACGAAAGTCGAGGATTCAGCAAGTCGCCGGCAGGACCTGATGCTGTCGCAGTAGCGGGCGAGAAGGCCCATAGCATCAGGAGCAAAAAGAGAATGGGCAGGCTTGGCGTGCACTGAGGCGTGGGTGCGCGATATGCATCACGCTAGTTTGGGTTACGGGGCCGCTGGAGCAGGCACGCAAGATCGCTTGCCCGTCTGCACGCAGCTCGACAAGTGCCCTTACGAGGCCTACGCCGCTCAGATACCTGACTGTTGCGCTGCGGCTGCCGCCGCCGCCGCCGCAGCTGCAGCTGCTGCGCAAGAGCCCTATCCCAGACCACCCAGCGGCTATGACACCAGGTGCTACGACGATTGCCACCGGAGAACACCTTATGGCGACGACTCGTACTCACAAGTTCGTAATTATTTTTTAGCGTATTCTCAGAATGACCGAGCGATTTGCTATTTCAAAAAGCTGCGCCACGTTTCAAACGACTAATTCATGCACGTTTGTGTTATTGTAAAGTAGTATTTGAGTGGTTATTGCCTACATTTTTGAGAATCGCTACTAGTGTTACATTATAATATTTATCGAATTGATGAATGACTTTAGCCATTATTTCTCAATGCAATATTGAATAATTCCATCGCAGATAATTTATCTCTTATAAAGAACAAGGGAATGTAAAACAATAGTTGATTGTTAAATTTTCTATCCATCGTGTACAGTCTGATGACGTTGCATGGAGATATAAATCATTTAGCTGGATAATAGCCTGCATAATGAGCTTGTTCGAATATTTTTTTTCTGCTACGCGTGTACATACAATGCAGATGACATCTATTGATGGGAAATGACACAGGTGCATTATTAGTGGTCGTTTGTTTTGGGCCTCGTATTTTCGCGAGCGAATACGCTAAATCCACTGCGGAGAATCGAAATCAATTGGAACATAATCGAAAAGCTTAGCACGATGGAGAGATTGTAATCCGAATCCCGGTCCGGAAATAATTCAGCCTCGCTGACGATGCTAAATGGGCGCACGGTTGTTGATTGTAAAACTGCAATGAAATCCACTACTTTCCCCCAGCAGACGTGCGTCATCGCTTAGTGGGATTGCCGCGAGCATCTATCCGTATCTTCCTTCGTAGTTTAGCCGTGCTCTGACAATTAGCGTTATTCTACGAGGAGATTCATCCAATTGCAGGCTTTCACATTTGTCACGGTAATTGATTCGCGGCAGTTTTTGTTTTACTTTATTTCGGGCATAAATTTCCTGGCCCGGGCGTTTTTTGAGGGATAGCGCGCGGTTGCATAGCGGGCGGGGGGGGGGGGGGGGGGGGGGCATACCGCTAACGCTGTGTTTTTGTGCGCGCGCCCTCCGGGAAAAATGTCGATAAGGCTCGCTATCGGAGAGGAAATACTGGCCAAGCTTTGCCCGTGGGCTTTGTTCGCGTGGGGCTTTTCTAATTTACATGATTTATCGCGCGCCTGGCTTCTGTTCTATGCTAACGCAGTCAAAATTGTTGTTCAATAAAACACAATTTTAGAGTTTTGGTAGAAACCGTTGCGACAGGAGGATTAGCGGCGAAGTTGTACTTCCGCGCTCTAATCACACTGTTTATGGAGATCAAACGAAAAATAATCTCAAGTTTTATGTTTCGGACAGTCTACAGACGAGCGCTCTCGCTTAGTTATGCTGTGGCTCTCAGCTCTCCTGATTACGGGAATGAATTTTAATGCCGCCGTTGCAGTTGTTCATTATGTACGTTGATGTTGCTCGTGTTTCAAGCTTGCGGTTCAACGGCTTATGCGCTAATAAATCATTCGATGATCGCATGCTGCTCTAATTTTATCACGTGAAGCATCAAATTTCACAGAAAGTTAAGCCGTAATTAGTGTCGTAGAGCAGATTTCAATTTCACAAGTTATAAGTTTTACTTGGAAAGATAACTCGCGCGCTGAAAGGAACTTCAGAGATTACCTTCTTTAAAAGAGTGCGCGAGAGAGAGAGAGAGACTCTGTCAATTTGTTTAAAAGGCCGCAAATAAGGCTACGCGCAGCGTGATGCGCTTACAGGTAATAGACCGAAATCTCCTTGTGGTTACCTCTCAACGCTCGCATCAGATCCAAGGGAAAGAGAGAGAGAGAGAGAGAGAGAGAGAGGCGGATTAAGGTCACGTGTGCAGCGCGCGTTGCCTCCCCTGCGGCATGCTTTTTTACTGAGTGGCTTGGCGTATCTCTTTTGCGACTACGATAATTAGCATAGCTGCTGCGTCGAGGGCAAACGAATCGAGCACTTCAAGCCAGTGCGCATTTTTCAGAAATTTTACTTTAGCGTAGCGAAATGTATCGACTTGATCTACATTGAAAATTTTTATTAATTTTGGATCCCTTCAGCAAATAAATTAATAAACTAACGCATTAAATGAAAATTAAAGAAAAAAAAACTATACGGATTGAGTTTATTTTCTCAAAGTGAATTTATATTTCTTTGAAGAAAAATAGTATCGACTTGTTATTGACTTGGATGTTACGTATGATGAGATCAAAGAGCCGTTACAACTTTGACGTTTCCCTGGAAAATTTGGAGAAAATTTGATTCCCAGTCAGACTTACTTTTGAAAGCCAATGAGAAAGATATATATTTCATTCCTCAAACTGCTATACTGTGATAGAGCGACATAGTTATTCATAGTCGTTTGACAAACCCTCTCGCTTTCATCACGGTAGTCCTTAGCCATGCATAATGAAAATATCCATCAGGGTATTATGCAATGCGAGAATTTCAAGCTGACTGCACTCGCATTGCCTAATAATATACCGCGAGAGAGACCGGGAGAGCCACGTAGCAATCAGGATTATTTATTGACGTTGACGCAGTTGGACCGAATCCAAGCAGTTCTACTCTGCCTCTCTCTCTCTCTCTCTCTTTCACTAACACACGGGGGGTAGGTCAGTTACATAATCAACGCATTCACGCGGGACGACGATGCGTGGAGCAAGTCTTGGCTACCCCCGGGGTCCGCGGGCTCGAGTCCGCTAATTGATGCGCGCTATCCGATTACCGCTGATGCGCCTGCAACGCGCGCGCGAGCAAGCGTGTTTACCCGCTTGAAAAATTTCGCGATATGCTCATTTTGCGACTGTTTCACTTGTTATTACGCTGGCTACCGGGCAAATGCGGCTTTACGGCTTGTTTGGCGGAGGATTCCGCGTTCCACGAAATTTTCTTTTTCGAATCTCTCGAACGTCCGCGTATCAAAAGAATCTTATTGGATTACCCTCATTGTTTGCGACTCGCGGGAAATAAGCCTCCGAATCAAAGCGACATGGCCAACCCAACCCAACCCAACCCATAAACGTCACACGAAAGCGGCAGCATCCGAAAAGGATAACGGATTACGAACAAGAAAAAGAGAGATGTTTCAAACGACTCGCTCCCATGAAAATTTAATGAAAATCTAGATTCGAATGAAAGAAATTTAACGTAAATCCGTTTTTTAAATATTTTATGGAACTGACGTGGAGGGATTTGAGATTTTTCTATAATTGCATTGTGCGATGGGAAAAAAAATACTTAAAATCATTCATAGCGTTGTCAACGCAACGCCACGAAAAATGTACGCGTGTACGTGCGCGTGTGTGCATTTGCAATTCAGAAAAACTTCAAAATATTTTCACTCACCGTCTCTCTGTGGTAAGCATCTGGCGGGTGCACACACACACGTGCACACTGCAGGCAGCCGCAACAAAGCCTCAGCGTACGGTGCCGCTTCTCCGCGCGCGCACAAATGTGTACTTGTATGCAAAGAGCGAAAGAAGCATGGAATGCGCTAGATGCGAATTGCATAAAGCCATCCCCACGTGTGTGAGCTTCGTATTATTACAGAGCATGCGGCGAAAGAAAGAAAAAGAGAGAGAGAGAGAGAGAGTCCACTAAGAAGAGAGAATGTCGGATACCAAAAGTAACCAGGAAAAGGAAGTAATACATCGTTGCTAAGGGAGGATTACGTTGAATTTTATTATCGTGTTACAACGAGTGAATCAAAATGAATTGCTTTCGTGCGCATGCATGGCAATGCATTTTTCAAGAAATTTTCTTTTTATTTTGATGTTTATCCAATTTATTAGACAATTACAATGTACAAACGTACATCGATGCATATGTGAACTGAATGTACGATGCTTATTCTGGTAGCTTTATTAACGAGTCATAAATATACGTAGCGTTTCAAGCTTTCACCTCGATATTTATTGCATTATAATTGAAAACAGTATTTAGTTAACGCCGAAATTCGGAGAATACTACATTCGACGTAAATACAAACGAATGGCAATAAATACGTTTGTTTATTAATTAGTAACGGCAAATCGCTCATTATTCAACGATGCTTACGACCAGATTCATGTTTTGTTATGACTCGTCACCGTTGCGACAAGCGCAGGACAATTTAGAAATCCAAATTGAGTTTATTACTTTGCTCTAGAATGTAATTAAAGTGCAAGGGTTTTGAATAGAACTTTTGATGAGCAACGAATTTAACAACGTTAATAACTTGCTCATGTTGCAAAGAAAAAGTACATTGCAAGCATGGCGACGTTTTTGAAAGTGTGAACTTGATTATTTGTTTGGCTGGTTTACATTTTTTTCGTTCAATCTATTTACGGTATTAAATTTAACAGGTTCCATTTGAATTTTTCTTTCAACCTGCTAAATATTGGAAACATCAATCAAAGATTTTTTAGAGTGGATTGCTATTCACTTATAAATGAACTTGAATTACTGATATAAAGCAGATGAAGATCAATGAGTGAATTATTAATGATACTTTATACATATTTCATTCATATTTATAATTCAGTCGATCATCGAGTAATAAAGCGAGTATTTTGTAATTATTGATTTAGTTGCCTTCAAATGCTTAATTATATTATTCAAAGTAAATTTTTAATTTACGCAGGTATTATTAGTCAAGCACTGCTCTTCGTATATATTAAATAGAAACCTAATTAGGTAAGGTAGTAAAATAAAATATCTATAGTGATCTGATAGATACAGGCTTGCAGGTATTGGTCTGCTCGTTAATACATAGGTACATATACACATGTGTACGATAGCCATTTGACAGGGCAGTTACGGCATGTAATTCTGGCAAAAGCAAGAGATTGGAAAGCAAGACGGAAAGAAACTTTTTCCATCTCTTGCTGCCGGCAGCAGCAGCAGCAGTGGCGTTTTCTGGGTCAACGGGACGTTTGTGGAGAATGTAAGCCGATTAGAATCGGGGGGGGGGGGGGGGGGGATCTAGGTCGACCGGAAATGGCCGTTGTTGTTTCCATCCTCTCTCCTCTCTAACGTTTTACGCCTCGTATTACTTAATTGATTAACGTCCCGATAGTCAACCTCCACGTGTGAGTACGTGTGTGCGGGATTTAGTTGGCTGACACGGGATTTGCGAGACTTTTGGATAAAAACAGTGGATGGACGTTAATGACCTCATATAATGAGGGTTATTTTTTTTCTTTTCATTTATTTTCACCTATATTGACAACGCATCTGGCGAAAATAAGTAAATAATCCTACAAAATGGGTAACATTGTGATTTTTAATATATTACATGAACGTACTTTTTCAATGATCAGTGCCAAAAAACTAAAGAAAAAATGAATTTACTTTTATGTCACAGAATTATTTTAAATTTGATAAAATGGTGTTTTGTATTTCTCCGATCTTGATACTCCTGGAGTTGTATGCATTATATTCTTTGCAAGTTAATTAGGTTCTTTCATTAGTCGGTGTACTTTCTGCGGGCAGCTTCTATTTTTTCCTTTATAGTTGATATGTTGACGCCCTTCCTAATTATTTCATTTATAACGAAGTATCGTGCGTATGTAAAATAGCTATGTTGTTTGCATAAGTGGTAATATTAATATTTTCTGTGGTTGACAGATCATAGGTGTAAATAGAATATAATATGGAACCAAGAATACTTCCTTAAGGAATGTAGACTTTTATTGGATACAGTGTTTAGTAGTTTCGTTATTTATTTTAATCTTGAAATTTCTGTGGTTTAATTATGGTTCTCAGAGTATATAGATAGAGATTTTTTGGTACAATTTTATTAAGTTTATACAGTAAGCCTTTGTGCCAGACTTTATCAAATGCTTGGGCTATGTCAAGAAATATTGCATTACAATATTCTTTTCTTTGATAAATATTCTGGATTTTAGTGGTTACTCTGTTTATTTGTACTATTGTGGCATGATTGTTATGGAAACCGAATTCATGATTGAGTATAATATTTTGTTTCAGCAGTATTTTATTTAGTCTTTTGATTATTATTTTTTCGCAGACTTTTGAAAATGTAGGAAATAGGCTGATTAGTCTACAGGATGAATAAAATTCGATTGATTTGTCTAGTTTGGGGATGAGTGTGATTGTTACTATTTCTCGTACAGCAGGAAAATAAGATTGTCGAAATATTTCTTTTATCACTGTAGTAATAAATCATTTTACTTTTATAGGTAATTCCTTTAGTAATTTTCTATTAATTTTGTCATGTTATGGAATCTTTTTGGTTTAAGGCTAGTAATTATGTTATTTATTTCTGGGATTTTTATATTTTCAATTGTGTAATTAGTGTTATTAGCTTGGGTAATATTTAATAACGTGAGTTCTTCATCTATTGTTATGCTGTATTACGGGAGGAGTGGGGGGGGGGGGGGGGGGGGGGGGATACATTTTTCAAATGTTTAACAAATGTAGTAACTTCATTATTGCTAGTTCTTGCTCATGTCATCTCAGCTTTTATAATGCGTGAAGAAAATTGTTTGAGTTGTTTTATTATATTTTGTTACTTTTCAGAGTGAGTAGTTGAACGCCTCTATAGCAGTTTGATTTTTCAAAGACTTGTTTATAACCGCATTTTTTTCTTAAAAATAATTTTTTTAATTCTTTGATTGATCGATTACACTTTGTTTTGGCTGATTGTAGTCTACGTTGTTGCCATACGTTGTGTTTCTTTTATCGGATTTATCCTGATTAGGAGTTAACCGTATAAAATTTTAATTTTTTTAAATATTTTGGAATTGCTATGTTGATAACTACGTGGATATTATTGTTTAGAATTTCTATGCCAGTATCTATGTTTTGTTGAGTTTTAAGCGGTATTTTACACCTTAGTTTATTATTTAGAACATTTTTGTAAGTCTCCTAGTTTGTATTATTATTATACAGGGAACTATACTTTGTGTTGATTTTGATTATTGTTTGATAATTTATAATTATTAGAGAATGACTTGAGGCTAAATAAAGACATGGTTTGACGATTATTTTATTAGGAGATACGCTTTTTATAATAGTGAAGGCTATTAAATCGGGTAATTTATTAGTAGTGGAGTGCTAATTCGTGACTTTGTCCGAAGATATTGGTGTTAGGTTTTTTGGTTGCATTACCGAATAATGATTTACTCTTTTTGGATTGGAAATTATTGACCTTGATCCCTAACATAGATATTTTGGATATTAGGTCAAAGTAATTATCATTAATTTAGTATATAATTAGAAAAGCAACTTACTGAAAAGCTTCATGCTAATTTTTGAAAACTTTACTTTTTGAAATCTTGAGGCTTTTGAAAAGTCGTAGCTGTGATTTACCAAATCAACTTAGAATTTTGAAATTTTTAAGACTTTAGAGATGAATAATGTCTACCAGTGATTGATTCCTCTCAGGATGGTGACAATATAGATTTACTTGGGTTCATAATGCCATACAACAATAATTTTCAATATAATTTTAATCCATTTAATAAAATAGATTATACTTGGTACAAATATTTTACTTTCTCGCAGACAATTTAATAGTAATCTATCGTGTTCGATGGTCTAGTTTCAAGCTCTAAGAATTATATAAAAATAATTTATGGAAACAGTCCGTTGCAAATACTAATAAAAGGCAAATAGCTTGCCAACAAGAACATAATTTCCAAAGTACTGCCTCACTAACAAACAAAGCTGCATTAAAATCCCTCCCTCCCCCCGTACACATAACTATACAGTGTTAGCACGGTCAATTCCTCTATAGCGCAAACGACTAAAGCCGCGCGCAAATTCCGGAAACGTTTGCCCCATTCCACGTATCCGATAACCGTCAGACCGATCCATTGCAATGCTGTCGTCATCCCTAATCACGTCGATCTCAGTACTCCTTGGACTGCGGAAAAGCCACAAGCTCTAAAGCTTCTCTCTCTCCCTCTCTCTCTCTCAGTCAATCCTTGAGCATAATGAGGAATTCTCGGTGTGATCAGCAGGATTCGGTGCCAACTGGCGCGTACCAAAGGCCACCGTCAAGGCTCGGTTACGATGACCAGCAAAGCCAGCAGAGTCAGCAACAGCAGCCAGCCAGGCCACAATCACGTATGGGTGGTTACTTGGACGACGCTTACCTCCTCGGCGACCAAAGTACCACCGATACTAGCCAGCAGCAACAGCAGCAGCCGCCACAGCTCTACTGCACCAGCGGCTATTGCATGGGTGACATGGGCCGAGGTGGGCTCTGTGGCGAGGAGCTCGAGCTCGACATGCGTCGACACATTCAGGCCTGCGCCTGCACCTGCAACCACATGGGTTATGGGAACTACATGGACTATCAGGTGAGTCTCTCTGCTCTCACTCTAATTAAATGCGATGTAATGAGACTTGGCGATGGGAGTATCAATTGGCAACTGATAAAACGTTGCTCAAGCTTCGTGGTACGAGTATGGCACACTCATGACGGGCTCTACTATATAGAATGACAAATTAGACGCGTAGCTGCACTATTGCGTAAGGATATCGTTGTTCCGCCTGTAGTAATGGTCGTTACGACAATGCTGATGACGATGGCACTGTCAGAGTTTAAGTATACCCAAGAATGTTGACTTGATATGGTTTTAGATCCACACAAGATTCTGCATTCCACGATCACGGTATATCTGATATTTTAAGGTGAAAGATAACGTTAAGCCAGATGTAAATAATTAATCTAACGTTACCCGAGCCTCACAAAGAAAAATGGATATCAAAGACACTTTATACACCAAACAAAAGAAGAAGAAAAATGAACAGCTTTGTATAATGAAATGAGAGGATAAAAATTGATTTCGTAGAGCAAAAGTTCTCAATCACAAGAATCATGATTCCGCTTAACCCCTTTCTCAGCCGAACCGTTTTCAAAAGAAAGTTCTGTCTCTTTCTACAGTGTCTCATCTTCTATATATGCATTTTGCCCGCTTGACTTTGAGTCGTCGTCGCGAACCGCAACTGCTGCTCAGTTGAAAAGCCAAAGCGGACAGGCGCGTGGGAAACCGAGTCGGACAAGAGCGAAACTGTAAATGATGCTCGGAAGATAAGCCGGGCGTATTCTTCTTAGAGTGCGCTCTTCCTATGACGCACGTCTGTCGTGTCTTCGCACTACAGGACCATGACTTTAGCAGTGAGTTTTCGAAGCAATTAAAATGTCGTTTGGAGTATCACTTTGTTTTCAATAAAGCCTCTTCGACAGTGGTCGTAAATCGCTGCTTGCCGCAAAAGCGAAAAGCTTGGAATGATTGATCGAAATATTGTATTTTTCCTCAAAAACAAAAAGCTCAAGGTGATTCACCGAGACAATATTTCAATATTACCACCTCACAATCGCGAAGATATTGCATTTGACGAGCTAGCAATTGAAAAAATTGAAGCAGAGCTCGCCCCACGCGTAGAGCACTGAGCCTGCAGATGATCTAGCGCGCAGATAAAGCTGCAATATAGCCGAGTTAAATGGGCCGAGAGGGAGCGAGGGAAGTTTTCAGCGACGGCGACGGCGGCGCAGATGCCGCCATGTGTCTCACTTAAGTCTTTACGATTATATGGCATTTCGCTGCTGGTGCTGGTGCTGCTGTTACTACTGGTCGATCATTCCGCCGCTGCGAAAATTTTCCGACCAAAGCGTGAAATTATTCCCGACTTTATGATTCGCCAGGCAGCAACGGTAGCAGCGCTAGCGCGCATTTGTGGAATTGCAAATTGAAATAGCTGCGGCGAAGCTTACGCCAGAATTAATTTTATGCGCTATTTTATATTATATTTTTGGAAAGTTTGCTTTGTCTGCATGCGGCGTTTATCAAGCGCGTTAAATGCGCATAATTTTCGGTTTAATTATTATTCGTTTGAGTGCGCGTCGCGCTTTACGCTGCTTATTATTTCATGGAAGCAAATTATCGGCGAGTCGGATGATCGAAAGCCACGCTATGACAATTTATTGATTATTATTTCACAACAACGGAGAAGTGATTGTGAACTGCTGTATTACTGAATTCTAAATGAGCCTAAGATTTTTTTCGGGTAATTACATAATTTTTACTCTATCGATACATCACGTAATTTGAAATTACCACGGGCTAAAGAAATCTCAACGACGATAATAAATTGTCATCTTTCACGACAGGCATATTCGACGCGAGCTTAATTTGGTTAGAGAGTGCTCGACAAATGCCACGTAGCGCTCAATGGCCAGTATGCGGGGGGTCGACTTGACGTGCCAATCTACATGATGAGGATCAATGACCCGTGAAAAAACTCGGTAGCGCTGCGGCTGACGACAGATTTGCGTGCATAAGTAGTGGAAAAGTGGGCGAGCCTCTTCGTTCTCTCTCATTCTGTCGTGAATGGCATTATTTTCGCTTGTGCCTTGTTTAATTGCGGGGGGGGGGGGGTGGTAAAACGTCGAGACAATGGCGTGCAAAAATAATAATAACTCGCTGAAAAGGGAAAAGGATAAAGTATACGAGCGTTAATTTAATTTCCAAGCCTCTGTTGCTGTAGAGGGCATGTTAATAAAAAAGAATATAGTAGATCCGAGAGGACTAAATTGTCATTCGCGCGTGCATAAGTCACTTTTTAACGCTGTCCGTGTGGATTCTTTCGTTTTTGTTTTTTTTTTGACCAATTTACTTTTCTTCACGATGACGACGTGTTAAAAAAGGGAAAAAGAGATGATGTCGTATCAGCATAATTAAATTGATCGAAAATATTTCTTTTGTTTCCTACTAGCGTTATTTAACGCGCTTCGCGTACTTTATTGTTATTTTGCTGTTATTTATATAATCGTATACATAACGGAATTCTATTATTTATATGATTATATAAACTATGTAAATAATTTTTATATCTGTTATCTATTGGTGGTACGATAATATTCTGTTATCATACAATCAGAACTTTAGTCAATAACAGTGGTTTTCTAAGACATTAGCAATATACCTATTACTATATATTAGTAATACCTTTCAACATTGAATGTTCTCTGGTTTCCTCGTTGACAACATTCGTGAACATTCTTCTTCAAATTTAATATTCTGATAATTATTTGCCGTTTCTCGCAAAGCTGTCACTTTATGAATGTAAAAAAATTAAAATGTAATTATCTTCTCTTTATTCTATTAAATTTTTCTCTCTGTCAATAACATTTTAAAACGACACTATTAATTTCAAAGATGGTAATCAAATTATTCCAGCATACTCTGAAATCATTATTTTTTATTTTACTTAAAACGATTTATTAACGGCATATTTCCATTTTTGCAGATTATTATCCATTTTAATTATTCATAAATTGAATTTATTGCTGCAATATAAGTTTCATACTGCCCTAGATATATAATACAAATATTTTCAAATATACGAAAATCCAAATATTCGCGCTCTTTCTTAGTATCAACCAATCATAACACTGGATGTCGGCGACTCATCATTTTTTAAAGATAGGATAGTCACGCAAAAGAACGAAGCTGTGATGTTATTGACTGATCGTAGAACGACTATGAAAAGCAGAATTTTTTATGTGCCTCCATTGAAGCGTTCTCTTTTTGTTCTTTCCATCCGTCTATCAACTTTGTCTCTGTGAATCTGTTGATGTATATTTTTTTCTTCATGAAATTCAGTCATTCTAATTAAGCCTTAAAAATTGACAGACTTTCATAACTTTCATGATAACGAATATTTTAGGACAGAGGTACGGCTATTGAGTATAATAAACTCGAAAGGCAAAAAAAAAATAATGTAATCAATACTTGAAAATACATAAACGTTATAAGTAAACTGTATACATGAATCTTTACAGCATTGACTTTTTTGATTGCATATAAAATCCGAGTAAGAATCGATAAAAAATAAATTGGCTACTAGAATCTTTCATAACAAAAAGAATATTCGAAAGAATTGTGAAGAATAACGCAAGAAAATAATGGTTTAGTATTATTAACGACATAACGTGATATAAAAATACCTGCTAGTTTTTTTATTCCACCTATGAATTATTGAATTGATTTGCACTAACATCATTTATGTGCGGTTGTTGGGAAAACATTGCACTATGTTCGAACCATATATTCTAATAATACTAGTAGTAATTTTTATTTTTAATTCTTACCTTATAACTTCATCTTATAGAAACATTGGAACGTTTCGACGCCACCTTATAACCATTCCACCATCAACTCCTCTAATGAACACTCAACGCCGATTACAGCACCTTGTCAAAATCAGTCAGTTTCAACTTGTCCATCAAGCCGAGATAACTTTTGCACGTGCGCATTTGCGCCATCCTCTTGTTCTTCTATAGCAAAGCGAAAGTAGGGTAGTCGTGGCGTTTGCAGCGGCCAACCGGAAGTAATCTGCTCGACAGGCTTCCCCTTTACACGAAGCTTGAAAATCAGCTTTGGCGAGCGCGCAAGTACGAGGTTTATTTATTAACGCTCAACAATGCTCTTTCTAAAGCTGTCGAGCTGCATCGACATTTTATCGTTTTTTTTTTATGTATTCTCATCGTGCTTTCTTTCTCTCTCTCCCTCGCTTGCTCTCTCTCTTTATTTTTGTTTCTCAATGTTTCTTTTACGTTCGTTAATCTGATGTTTATTGAGATTCAAGAGGAAGATTATATTGTATTATGCTCATTGTATTTATATATCGGTAAATGTGAGCGGAAAATTTTGATAGCTGTAGTGTATTGTTTAAAAGTGAATTGAGTTTTGAAATATTTTAATACTAGTATCTTTCCGTTTGCGTGTAGATTTATTTATATTGTGAAATATTCATTTAGAGTGCAAACTATTTTTTAGGAATAAACATGCTTTTACAGGTACTATTTTTCTTTCGCGTATCGTAAATTAATACTGAATTTATTATCTGCAATATTTTCACAAGTCATAGAAAATGAGAAATAACACGATTCATTTATTATTCACGCAGAAGAAGTGAATATAAAACATCACGAAAGAGCAGCAAGGATGATAATAAATGAAAACACAACAAATAATAGTGTACAAAATGCAATACGTTGTAACGTGTAAAATCGGTAAGGAAGCATTCAATATCGAAAGTAATGTCCTGTGCCTACACACACGTGCAATTTTTCCATGAAAAATAAAATTCTGGCACCTACGAGCATCATCAACCAGAGAGTGTGTGCGAAGTAAAGTAAAAAGCAAACGTGAAACCAATCAATCATCCCTCGAGCATCAATTCCACATCCGCGACTTTCACAAAAAAAATTGCACTTTTAAGCGCACGCGGCTTTTCCAGCAGGCAACTAGGGTAAGGCGAAGGTATATAGCGCAATGGAGCAGGAGACTCC